GCCAGGGCTCATCTTTTTGCACCTGGCCTTCTCCTGCAAAAAAAAAAAAGCCAGGAAGCCTTTTTAATTAAAGTACAGCTGATGCAGGACTGCGATCAGTGATTGATGGTGCTCAACTGATGTGCATGGTCCTGCTTTGCTCTATAGACACATAAAAAATCTTGGACACCAGGCCACCATGACACCTATAAATTGTCTCCTGGCACCAAAAAAGGAGACTAACAGATGTGTCAATGTTTACACATAAAATGGTGCATCTTTGGCACCAAGTTCTGATGTTGATTAGCTGAAGGTATGTGGGAGTTTCCAACATTAAAAGCCTATTCTAGGCTAATTTGGCAACAGCAGATTCCCATTAATGCACGCTATTCAATAAGCTAATAGCAACATACTCCTCCTCGTCCAATAATAACAAGTGTGACAGTGTCACATAATAGATATACAGGCAAGTACATTGCCATCTTCCTCTCAAAATGTGCACACTCAATATACATGTCAGTGTTTTGGGTTTCTACCATAAGTAACCAAAATACACACGTTACAAAGAAAATCAAGTATTTCAGTTACAATAACACAATAACACAGTGGAAAACCCAAAGAAAAAATAGGAAAACTCAATTCAAGTAGCTCAATACAAGGAAACAGGAAGGCAACCTGGGACTCAGGACTTCAGACTACTAGGGCAATGCCTCCAGGAGTAAGATACAGGGCGCAAGGCCTCCAGGAGCCAAGATACAGCGAGCAAGGCCTCCAGGAGCCAGGATACAGTGAGCAAGGCCACCAGGAGGCAGGATACCGTGAGCAAGGCCACCAGGAGCCAAGATACAGTGAGCAAGGCCACCAGGAGGCAGGATACCGTGAACAAGGCCACCAGGAGCCAGGATACAGTGAGCAAGGCCTCCAGGAGTCAGGATACAGTGAGCAAGGCCTTCAGGAACCATGATATACAGTACAAGGCCTCCAGGAGTCAGGATACAGTGAGCAAGGCCTCCAGGAACCATGATATACAGTACAAGGCCTCCAGGAGTCAGGATACAGTGAGCAAGGCCTCCAGGAACCAGGATACACAGTGCAAGGCCTCCAGGAATCAGGATACAGTGAGCAAGGCTTCAGGAACCAAGATTCACAAAGCTATACCTTTTGAAGTCAGGATACACAGAGCAATGCATTTAGGGGTCAGCATAAATGGAGCAAGGCATCTGGGACTCAGACCTTTTGGATACAAGTAGCAAACCTGAAACAATAAACTAGCAACCAAAAAGTGATAACTGAAGACTTAATAGGTAGGTAGGTGATCATTATAAGGTAGGGCCAGCTGGGGACAGAGTCAGATCTCTTCAGCCCTGCAAAATCATCTCAGAAATGTAGTGGCACTATGAGGTACTGCACCAGACTGAAGAGATCAGAAAACTAGGGAGTATTACATGGAATTCTGACAACACAGCCAACAAAATAAATGTTAAAAGTTTGCTAATGTCAGAATAGTGGTGTCTGCTAGTGATTTGACACACATGTTTAATAAAATGGATGAAAGGGATAAACCATGACTCAACATTTTACTTTAATAACTGGTGCTTTGGTTTGACCCCTTATCACTAGCATCATCTGCCATTTACTTTCATTACATATATAGTTATTGCGTTGGTGTACTTTTACTTAAAGATTAACTGTCACTTATATGGAATTTATACCACTGAATAAAACATGTAAAATCACCCATTACTTGTGTTAACCTTTTTTTTTATGATACATAGATGAAGTGCATAAATATTTGGCAAATACATCATAATCCAGTTTCAGCTATTGCAAGACCACAGCAAGCGTTGCTAATGAAATAGGAACATTGTTTCATTTCTCCTATTCTCTGGATGCTTGCTCTATGATGCTCTGAAGGTGCAATGGACAGAGCTTATAGCAATGAGTGACAGGGAGCTAAGATAGAGTGCCTGGTTGCAGGATTAAGGTGAATATTTCTATACTTAATTTATTTTTCACACCTCATATTTGTTTTATATAGGCAAACATTCTGGGGTTTGACAGTTTTGTGACTTCCTGGCTCATGTGTGGTCTTTTTATATGTGTGCTGTATGGAAGACGGGGGTTTGGAAGGTGGACTATTGCTCGGTGCACCGGCAATTGCTAAACCTGTCGCTACCCTAATCAATAAATTCTTGGTGTCTGGATACATACCCAAACTTTGGGATACTGCAAGAGTAGTACCTATTCATAAAAGTGAGGACAATACGTTGGTATCTAACTGTCGTCTGATTTCATCGCTTCCTGTATTGTCAAAAATCTTGGGAAAATGTGTTCACACCCAACTATGTGAAAATTAGCAACAATCAAATTAACTAATCCCCTGATCAACCAGGCTTTCGTCCAAATCACTCAATTACAACTGCCCTCTTAAACATTTGCAATGACATCCAAACTGTCATGGAACAAGGAGACTTAACTGAAGCTATTTTCCTTGATTTTGCCACAGCATTTGACATAGTAAACCATGGCATTCCACTGCATTGGTGATGAGGTATTGGTGATCATCTGCTAACATGGTTTCCATCATATGTATCAGATCAATCACAATAGGTGTCCATTTCTGACAGCCCCCTCCCCTTCCAGTAATAACTATTCACATTCCCCCTGCAGAGCCTCAACTGTGCACATTTACACAGACAACACCATAATCTACACTAGCAAACCATATCTACATAGAAACATAAAAACATAGAAACATAGAATGTGACGGCAGATAAGAACCATTCGGCCCATCTAGTCTGCCCAATTTTCTAAATACTTTCATTAGTCTCTGGCCTTATCTTATAGTTAGGATAGCCTTATGCCTATCCCACGCATGCTTAAACTCCTTTACTGTGTTAACCTCTACCACTTCAGCTGGAAGGCTATTCCATGCATCCACTACCCTCTCAGTAAAGTAATACTTCCTGATATTATTTTTAAACCTTTGTCCCTCTAATTTAAAACTATGTCCTCTTGTTGTGGTAGATTTTCTTCTTTTAAATATAGTCTCCTGCTTTACTGTGGCTGTGTTCTACGACCAGTTTACAGAGGTAGAAACATGGATCACATATAACAAACTTTTCTTAAACACTGACAACATTGTCACAATGATGTATGGAACAGTAACTTAATTACATAAATGGCAAAATTCCCTTCTATGCCTCAGAACAAAATCAAATAACACACTGACCGCAGTCCGTTATTTCAAACACATAGGTATGTTGCTAGATCCCAGTCTATCTTTAGGCCGTCACATAAAAAAAATCTATCATCAAAACTCTATTCAAAACTAGATGCCCTGTTTTAAAACAAATTCTGCCTAAGCCCTGCAGTAAGATTGTACAACAAATTCTTGAATATGGGCATGTAGGGTATGCACCTGCACCACAAACCAACCTTCATAAACTTGCTGCAATGTAACTACATGACCCACCATTGTGACATGTTAAAAGAACTAAACTGGCTATCGCTGGAATCCAGAAGCACCCTTCATATTTCCAGCCTTGTGTTTTCTGGGAAGCTCCCACTAAACCTGAGTAAAATGTACTCCCCAGCTGTTCCCACCTCCTTTAGCCTCTGATCCAGTACCAGTAACTCATTTAATATACTATAATACAAAAAGAAAGTGGTTGAATCCGCATTTTCCTACAGAGCACCGCAATTATAAAATAACCTCATGGACACAATCAAATCTTCCTCCAGTCTAAAATCCTTTAAGGGATCTCTGTCAACATATCTCAAGACAGAATGCACCTGTAATCATGATTGATTATATTTCTTATCTGTTCTGTATTAAATGTATATATGTGTATTTGAATATTATTTAATATTTTTTATATTATATTGTACCCTACAATGCAATGTTTGGGGGCCAATACTTGAAAAAGAGAAAAATCTCAATGTATCCTTCCTGGTAAAATATTTTATAAATAAAATAATAACTGTATGTGTATAATGCTAAAAGTACATGATTTCATATAATCAATATTCTCCTCTGTGTTACTAAGCCATGCTGCTAAGATTTGTACCCAAGTCCTCTAAACGGCCATTAAACAGACCCTTTGTATCAGAACCACGAAATAGCTATCATTAGTCTCTAGATTCTAGCAGAGTAGAAGAGTATACAAAAGCAAAGATTGTTTTTGTTATCTAGTACTGTGAAATATTAATTACTTAAGAAACAATATTGTAAATATACAGGATATTAAACTTACTTTTAAAGATCTTATTTCAAAATGGAATATTCCTCTAATTTAACAAATGCAGAGCAATACAGAGCAACAAATGCAAAATATGCAGGGCATTCCATAGTAGTGTAGGGTCTTTAGGTAAAGGAAAACTATACATACCATAACCACGTCAACAGATTGATGTGGTTATGGTACCTGGAATAAACATGTGCAGCATTCTACATCATAATTTTAGTTAATTTCCAGTCCCTGGCAGCCTGTCTGATGTCCTCCAATGATGATCTGGTGGAGGCAGAGCTTTGAACTTTGCGCTACTTCACTTCATACCAGGGGTAGCAGGCAGTGATTGGCTGGAAGAGTCAGTATTGTGCGCTCAACCAATCACTGCCAGCAATCCCTGTTATGAACTAATAAGGCCTGAATTGGAAGCACAGCTCTGCTTCCCTTATATTATCATTGGAGGCTAGACTTCAGGCTGACAGGAACAGATAATTGCTACTAAATGTTGAGTAAACTGTTTAGTAGTGATGAGAGAAACAGCACTTGTGGACTCCAGGTAACAGAACCAATTAAATATGTTGAAGTGTTTATGGGACAGACAGTGTCCCTTTAAGTAATTAAGAAATTGATTCTTAAGGGGTTAATTCAACAAAAGCTTGACTTGGTACCTTTAACCTACTAAAATAGCAGTCAGTTTGACTTATGGTGGGCTCCATTCAAGATAGATGTGATATCAGGAACCTAATTTGTATCTATGCAACATTTAAAAAAATGAAAAGGACATTTAACTTAAACAAGACTTGAATTTATTTATTGATAACATTCTCAAAACTTCTTTGCGGTGAAAGTGACAAATTTTGGGTAAAAAATAAAAATAAAATAAAGGACTTTAAACAGCAAAAAAAAAAAAAGCTTAATTCTTTCTTCTGTTAATTAAATGTCACTGGGAAATGAACTAGTGGGATCTGAGACCAATTAATTTAACAGTTTATTTATGAAAGAGTAACACACACTTTTCAAGTCTTACATATATTATGAAAAATAATTACAAAATAATTTTATTTTTTAAAAGTTAAAATCATTAACTTTACTTCCAGCTTCAAACCAGAAAGGGGAGGAAAACCAGAATAACTTTAGAATTGTAATCAGAAATATTAAGATGGCAAATGAACCTGTGTAATTAGCAGCCCCTCTTATATTGCTATGGAAACAGATAGAATCACATGACCTAAACATATTAGGTTTATACGTATGTGCATATTTGTACATGTATATAAATTATACATTAAAATGCACAGACATACAAACAATTAAAATGCATCAATTTACAATTCGGAGGGCCTAGTGCTGCCCAGTACATCCCTGTGTTCTCTTCTGTATGATATTAATATTAACACTAACATACAATACCTAAGAACATTGCTTTAAAACAACTGCTCTTAAAAGTATTGTCAAACACGTAACAAATGCATAGAAAACCGTTTCCAGTTTAGTTTTAATATTAAGGTGGAAAATGCACAAGCCTCAATGATACATAAATTCATACAAATTCACGTTTGACCATAGATTTCACACAGAACTGACAAACATCTTATACAGAAATATTTATTTTAATACATATTTCCCCTGACCACAAATAATAATAATAAAAAAAAAAAGTATTTTAGGTATATACATGCATGTCACGACACCCTGGAATGAGGTATTAGCACCATCCAAATATTGCACCAAAAATGGTATCATTTTGCAAAAACTAAGCACAAAAAATGGTAATTTAGATTATTTCCTATTTTGTCTTCCAGTTTGGCAACCTGAGGCTTTATATATAAAGACTGTAAATATATATATTTATTTATTTTGTTTAGCAACAGCAAATAAGAGAGGTCTTCCACATCAATATATACAAAGGGACTTTATTTCGGGTGAGAAAATTTGGGTTGTGGTCCACTGGTTTTACATTATTTTGCACAATACAGACACTGTATTTGTTTTACACAGTGGAGAACCTATTATGTTTCTTTGCTCTTAATGAACAAGGCTCAAACCACAGTCACATGCAAGTTTTGGAAAAGGACATGCAAGCCTTGAACTAGGTACGAAGAAAAAAAAAATATGACATGATATATTTGGTCGACCCATTTACAAGAAATGTATAGCACCTGTTATGGACAAAGCTTCTTTAAGATATTTTTTCAGCACCATAAGTTTCACATGGCAGGAAGCCATGGCTGGCCCTAGAGTATTGCATATTAGTCCTTCATATGTTGGCAAACGCTCTTTCAGTTTAAGTCATGTGATTCTGCCTAGGTAATTCTCTAATCTTTTTCTTCCCCTCTGCACCATCCGTATTCAAAACTTGCATGTGGTGACCACGTCTTCGGTAGTATCCCATCAAGCCTGACGCTTTCTTTTTTTTTTTGAAAAAAACATTATTTTTTTTACATATTTTAATTTTTTTAATTAGATTAAGCTGCTTGTCCGCGTTTTGGTCTCAACCTAAGAAGCAGGCTGGCCCAACCTCAAATCCAAACTTTTGGTTCTGATCCCCAAAGTCACTGAACATTACATCTGCAATAGGCAGCTGGTCTATCTTCAGGGTGTTTATTTCAAGAACTGTTCTTCCATATCCTTTTCTTAGCTGAAACAGAAGAAAAAATAATTGTATTAGTTCAGATTGAAATGCAGCAAAACAACTGTAGCTATATGTTCTTTATCTATAAAATGTAAAAAGCTGTAGTTTGATTATATATCAGATGATTTACTTTAAGAGAGGAACAGTTACTTTGTTAGTGTTATATCTACTTTACATCATTTGCCAAATATTTCATATAATTTTAAAAGAAAATGGAACGGCTCATTTTGTTTTCAGGTTTTATTTATTAGCATACATTCTAAATAAGTGGCAGTTCCCATTTAATCATTTTTGGGGGAAGGGTGCTTTTTTCAACATATATGATGTTTCTAAATTATTAACACCGATGGTTATCTTTTACAAATCTTAACAGAGCATTTTTTTGTACCTATGCCATTTGTTATTCTACATAGCAAGATTACATGATGTAATGAAAGAGTTAGACATCTTGGTATTTAACTGGTCCTGACTTTATTATTGTAATTACCGTATATACTCGAGTATAAGACGAGTTTTTTGGCACATTTTTTGTGCTGAAAAAGCCCCACTCGTCTTATACTCGAGTCAGTGTCTGTATTATGGCAACTTACATTGCCATAATACAGACCAGGACCGCCGGGCTCATTACAAGCCCAGCGGTCCTGTTGGGGGCTGTGAGCAAGCTGTTACTTACCTTTACAGCAGCTCCGTTCAGCTCCCTTCTCCTCCGTGTCGTTCAGCTCCACTGTAAGTCTCGCGAGAGCCGCGGTCGTCAGATTGTTGCCACGGGTTACCAGGGCAACGCTCCACGCGGCACGCACACCGCGAGATTTACACTGGAGCTGAACGGCACGAAGGAGAAGGGAGCTGAACGGAGCTGCTGTAAAGGTAAGTAACAGCTTGCTCACAGCCCCACTCCTGCACAGCCCATCCACTGGACCACCAGGGAATAATATAGCCCCCCTCCCTGGCCATGTATCAAAATAAAAATTTAAATAATATTATAATAAAATAAAAATGTAATAATATTAAAAAAAAATTTAAAAAAATTTAATATTAAAATAAAAATAATAATAATAAAAATGCCCACCCTCCACCAAGGTTACACACTCTGCATCACATACACAAACACACTCTGCATCATATACACACACTGCATTATATACACACACACACTGCATTATATACACACACACTCTGCATTCATACACACACACTGCATTCATTATATACACACACTACACAAACACACACACACTGCATTCATTATATACATACACTGTAAATAAATATTTAATTAATATAATTTTTTGGGGGATCTAATTTTATTTAGAAATTTACCAGTAGCTGCTGCATTTCCCACCCTAGTCTTATACTCGAGTCAATAAGTTTTCCCAGTTTTTTGGGGTAAAATTAGGGGCCTCGACTTATATTCGGGTCGACTTATACTCGAGTATATACGGTATTTGTTTAGAATAGTTGTTGCTAATGCTATTGTATACATAGTTGTAAAATTATTGATTTTTAAACTGTATTGAAATATGTAAAAGTTAGATTGTTAATGTAAAATTTAATGCAAGATACATACCATAATTACATAACTTCCATATGTTTATAACTTTAACCTTAAAACATTATTTGTAATTTTATGTAAAATAAACAAAAAATAGGGGAGAAAATGTATTGTTTCTGATGATTTTGAAATATTTATTTCCATATGATTCTCAAAAAACAATCCACTAATGATAAAATGATGGGCATGCTAGAGACAAGAAACAGCAAGCTTGAAAACGAACATGCAAAATTTAGACTAAAATAGCACAAGTGGATAAAATCTCCAATTAATCTGTGTTGAATTTTTTTTTTTTTTTCAGTTCTGCTAGTCTGGCCTTAATTTGCAAGTTGATTCTCAAGTCACCACAAATCTGTGTTTATTTACTCGTATCAAACATTGCAATTTATATCACTCGCTCTTTGCAATTTTATTCGCCTAATGATGTCTTCACAATCTATTGGAAAATAAACAAGCATAAGCGAAACAGGATAAAAAGCAATGAATCCTTTGAAATAACTTCTTTTCTGCTTTTTTTATAATTTTGTTTTTAATTTTTTTTGTCATTATAAGGCATCTGTTCACATGAAAAAGAATGATGACATAGGTGTTTACTTATGTTGAAGTTATTCAAATATAATTTATTTTGGGAAGAGATAAATCTCCATTAATTATCTTCTAAATATCCATCTTTTAAATGAAAAGGGGCTTATTTTTGACCAAAAATACAGAGAAGCTAAAATGGTTTAATTCATTAGCACGAACACATGAATAATACATATAAACAAGTTAGTGTTATATTCACTGAGAAATGCCATTTATTGTCTTTCAGTGAATAAATAAATAAAATATTGCTTTTACACCGATGTTCTGTCTATTGAATACATTTAGCGCTTCAGAGCTGTTGTTGATTCAGAAAATGTATTGATTGGTAAACACATTGGACTTGGGAAACACTTCCATAAGTCAAGAGCACGCAACACCAATAGAGTTTTCTAATTGCTTTATGCTTGCTATAATATTTATTACTGATTCAAAACAAATTAAAACAGAGGTCCATCAAAAAGGCAAGGAAAAGCAATTAGTTCAGCTAATTTACAGGGACGTGTGTATTGGTCTGGAAAGCACTTTACAGTTTATCCGTTTCATTGAAAAATTAAGATTGCATAGCTCCTACTATTGCTGCACGTAATCAGTACTTAATGTCAGCAGAAAAGCCAGTTATAAAATTGTGCAACTACATTATATGTATTATACACTTTTCCATAGCGTTAAAGCTTCCCACCAATAATATTTTCTGGACATTTTCCAAACAAAGTTGCTTGCTAGTTTTGCTACTCCATGTAATAATTACATATTATTACACCAAATTCTGCATAGGGTGTGAATGCTAAACAGCTTTTGTGCATGTTGTCTGTTGATATAGTTCTTGCACTTGCTAATTATTCACATGCTGATCAGCTAAGCAAATACAAGCAAAAGTTTTTAGCCATCGTATTATGTCATGTAAATACAGATCATCCTAAGAACCTCTACCCCGTATTATGTTTATAGGATGTTTACACACATTTAGCACTTGCACGGTAATAATAAAATTGCTTTAACCCCTTAAGGACACATGACATGTGTGACATGTCATGATTTCCTTTTATTCCAGAAGTTTGGTCCTTAAGGGGTTAAAGGAAGGGGACATTTTTTGAGATTTTCATTCCCTTTAATACATTTTCAGGAACATAGATATTGTTATTAGACAACTTAGCTGTACTTATTTTATTGACTAACACTAACTGAACTATCAACTGCCACACTGGCTATTGTACCATATTCAAGTGTGTTAATGTATTTCAGTTATATACATGTAGAGATAAACACCAGCATACAAGGACATCTAGACACTCACCGCACAGCCATCATGAATTGCTCTTATATAGGGACTATTGTCGTAGGAAATTTCTTCATCGTTGGATCCAAGGAACCTCAGCGCCTTGTCATAGCTGTCTGTCACAACATCATGCCAAGCCACTGACTGATGGCAGCTGTATGTGAAGTTTTGTCGGGCCGATGCACTAAGCAGTTTCAAGAAGGTCATTTGTACCTGATTGATGCTGTTACCTTCAATGTCCACATAGGAAAGCTGGGGACAAAGACAGATATTAGTGTTTTGCAACCCTTAGTCTATTGATAATCAGAACTGTGATCACTATGAGTATATCATTCATTGAAAGTGTGTATAACTAGGCAGTGAATGAATAGTAATTACTAAAGAAAAACTATCTTTATGAATTTTGGGCTGATCCACCTTTCAAGTTGGAAGCTGTTAGAAGACAAAGTAGAAGAGGTCCAATTTATTCCAATACAGGATGGGATCCTTACGGATGTTATGGAATATTAGCGAGGTACTATAGCCTCTATGAGTGTGTCTAGCATGGGGCGATCTTTCTTCTATTTCTCTACTTGTGGCATTTGTTTTTTTTCCCCCATAATATAACTTCTACTTTTTATATTAATATAATTGTTAGTACCTTTCAAAGAGCTCTAAATCATATTTTTCCTTTTAAGTATTTCTTTCATTAGCCTTTCTTTAGCCTAGCTGAGACCATCCATTAGAACAATAGAAAACAGACGTGTTCTATTCATGCCATGGTTTAAAATAACAAAATAGTACTCTCAATGAAAAAATGACTGTTCTTGTTTTGCGTAAACAATCTTTAGGGCATGTGTGAATCTAATTAGTAAGAGAGTTGTTTGGGTTGTAAGTCATAAAAAGAGTAAATAACTAAATAGGGCGGGGAGGTATGTGGAAATGTAGATAGCCTCGAAACGCGTGTCTTCACTCACCAACTTTCCTCTCTTGAATTCACTGAACCAGGATCCAGGTGTTTCTTTAGGCCATGAGGATATCCGTACCTGTTAACAATAAAAGAAGGTGAATAAAATCATTTTGAGACAATCTGCTAACAATACTCTATTCTACAAGCAGATTCTGGAATGGTCGTCACATACAATGCAGCAGCCATGCCTGTTTACACTCTGCAAAGATAACTGTATAGGAACGATCTTTACATCTATACTTAGCCTATACAACAATGAATGTTATGTACTATAGACCTTTAGTATTCAGATACATTTCTGTGTATGACATATTAGGTTAAGGTTCTAGAGAATTAAATGTCTGCTGCCATCAATGTAAACGAGGTTACTAGCTGTACCATCCATATGCTAATCAAAGAAACCCATCAATAAGAGATGGATCAGCATAATCATAGAAATATATAGTTGAGTATCTCAATGCTGATCAATCTAGATAATGGTGTATCAAATACATTTTCAAATATGGGCATTTCCTTCTCATTTTTCTTATCTCTACAGTTTATTAAAGCTGCACTGTCATCATCTGGGGACTTTGCAGAATTTGCAAAGATCCCCGATGATGACGTTATCGCTGGGGGTCTGGGTCCGAGATGGCACATAAAGGTGAGTTCTACGTACATGAACCAGTCCCTTGCAGACGACACCATCTTCTTCCTGCGGGTCCTCTTCAGAAGTGCCAGGAGCTGATGTCACTGCTGTACTCTCGGCATGCATGAGAGTGCAGCATTGAGGTAGATGAAGGATCCTGAGAAACCACAGGTTCCTCCATAGATAAAGCCAGTTCCGTGCAGCCTTCACTGGTGACGGCTGGGGGAATTGACACTTCTAGATGACAGTAGTTCTGCCCAGTATCCAGAAGTGTCAGGAGTTGGACGTATATAATGTCAAAGTAGTCCCTACTTTGTTTCAGTGTATCTCTTGACTGGGTTGGAATTTCTATGGTACTCCAACACAGTCAACATGAGTATTTCCTAAAGATTCTATGCTTCTGAAATACTCAATTTTTTTTGAGGGAGGTGGTTGTTTGTGGTGGATGACTGTACTGCTTTAAGTAAGCCATCTGCCGGCACTGGGGTGTAGGTGGGCAGAAGAAAGGATTGTGATAAAAAAATAAAATGAAAACAGTTCATACTGTTATTTCAAAATCTTTACGTCAAAAAGGCAATAATCATAAATCAGCTAAAGTTTTGTTATTTTGTTTAGTTTTTGCTAAACTGAGTTGTAGTGGCTTGACAGCTAAAGTGCAACATTTAGGCCAAAATACAAAACTGGAATGCTCTCGAACTTGGCTGAACATAAATTAAGGGTAAAATGTAGTTTGCAAAAAATCTACAATTAGGCTGAGCAGGAGATATTTTTTCAAAATCAGTTGTTAGAAGGCGTTTAAGGGTACACAAGCACATCTGCATCAGATTACTGGGTAAAAAATAAAAACATATTTCATGAATTAAGGGATATTTTAGAATTTAAAATAATGTTTTTGTTTTTTTTATAAGAATCTTGCGCTTTAAACAACAATTTTACCTAGTTATTTTGCAGCTATTAGTAGTTAATGATGACAAACATGACATTTGAAAGTTTAACCCCTGTGCAAGTCAGCGTGTTAATAATGTAGCATCACTTACTCCTTCAGATTTCTTGTCTGCATAAATACAGGTTTCCCCTCCAGCTGTGAAATTACAGAACACTTTGAACGAGTCTCCGGAGCAGCCTTGGTTTGGATCAATCCAATATTCACCTGGAGATTAAAAAAAAGAATAGAAATGAGGAAGGCTATTACCCTTAAGGTGAAGGTGAGGGTAAAGGAGGAGTCAGCGGGAATTATGCAGACATTTATCTTGTGACCTTAATGCCACAGCAGGCAAATATCTTTACCTCATTAGCCTCGTACTTTAGCAGACACATAGCCTGCTACATCTTCTATATACTCCTTTCACCCACAAGTGAAAGTGTGGGAATAGCAATTACGATAAACTCTTCCACATATTATTCATTAAACTACTCCACCATTCATTCAGGAGCCAAAGAACAAAGTATGATTGACAGCCACAGTGAGCAGCAAAGAAATTGATATTCCTCAATTATTAAAAAAAAATAAAAGGTGCGGGTTTGAGACGCATACAGTCATGATGTGTTTAGAACTACAGCAAATGTATTTCTATTGTCGGTTATAAATATGTACATTGGTATAAAATGCATCTATGCTGTACTTGTGTCCTCATTAAGCACCTCTTGTCTCTCTATATACAGGAATGTCATATCCATATATTTTGCATAGACCCATTTTATGTCTTTATGCTGATGGGCAGAACATATAATGTTCTGCACTGTGGTTTGTGGCATTCAGATGCTTAAACAAGGAAATCAATCAAGGATTAATCTCACAAAATAATAATGTATTACACTTACACAGCATATGAATGCTACATACCATACAGGAACACTTTTCAATTGCTGCCAATCAGCAAGAAAAA